CCTCTTTGAATGATTGAAAGAATTATAAAACACTTCAAATATAAAAATTTATTATTAATAAAATTAACGCAGATTTTTTATATATAATGGGATACAAATAGATGTCAATTTAGGTAGTTTATTAAAGAGTAAGCATAGATTCAATGCTTCACGATATTATCAAGAGACACGATAGTGTCTCGCGCCAAGTCACGCGCAGCCAAAGTCACGCGCAGTAGCAGCGAGGCACCCCATGTATCTATACGCGAGTCGGCCAGTTGAGAATATCTGAGATTATCAGTTCTCAACAACTATTGAACGAATCGAGTTCTTATTAGGCTTAAACGATAGATTGAGTTTGAATTATATAATAAAAGTGTGCTTACTTTTCTTTTAATTGCCCTACGAACAGAGAAATTACAAAGCAAACTTCGAAACACGAAATTTACGCTTAAGAAACGTCCCAGTTTTCTCCATCATCGGAAAAATGTACGTTTTCCGTTTTTAATACAAGATAGCGCTAAGAGCATTTGCCATTTATGGTAAACCACTTGTATGTAGCTGTAACGTATGACCTACATGAAGCTAGCTGGTAGAAATTATTAAATATGATTATTTTTAACTTTTCTGAGTGTATTTCATTTGTAAATCGTTTGATTGATTGTGAGTCTGTTTTTAATCTTTGTGACAAATTAGGTTCTTTTGTAATTAAAAATTTAGTTTAATCATAATATCAGTCGACACTTTTTAGTAATAAACAGATTTTGTGATAACTGATAACTGTAACTGATAGGAAATCTTTTGTGATTTTCAAATATACCAATATTACGCTTGTGAATTTATAAATTCTTTAATTACGTGCAAAGTAAGTTCATTTTATAATTGTAGTGCGCATGCGCAAAGTATATTCAAGCTTTAGACGCGTGACGATTTCCGCCATGCGTAACGCGCTCTCTGTGGGCAGGAGCCCTGAATATACTTTGCGCATGCGCACTACAATTATAAAATAAAATTATTTTGCACGTAATTAAAAAATTTATGAATTCACAAACATAACATCTGTATATCTGCAAATCACAAACGATTTCCTATTAATTACAGTTATCAGTTATCACAAAATCTGTTTATTACTAAAAAGTGTCTGCTGACATCATGACTAAACTAAAATTGTTAATTATAAAAAACTTAATTTGTCACGCTGCAAATAGACTCATAATCAATCACAAACGATTTACAAACGAAATACACTCAGAAAAGTTAAAGATAATTATATTTAATAATTTCTGCCGGCTAGTTTCATGTAAGTGTAACATATGTACGTATATATTCATATATGTATATCAGACAAATACAGTCGGTACGATCGGTAAGTAATAAAAAATATATATATATATCTATATATTATACGTTCCGTCCGTACCGGTTGTATTGTCTGATGGTCTTTGTTCATTAAAAATTCGATTATTTCATGTGTTATAATATTTTATGTTTTATTAAACATTATTTCAATATATACAGGGTGTCCTACAAATAAGTGAAAAAACGAAAGGTGGAGGTAGATTGGGTCAAATTGAGTCGAAAGGTCTTGGATCATTTTTTTTTATAACGCTTAATAAAGGAGTTATTATTGAGTAAAGTCTAGCCAATTTGCGTCGACCTTTAGCTGGGCGCACGCCGGTGAACCGCGCGCCTGGTAGTATGCGGTGGCGCAGCTTCACTGCGCGCGGTTCACCGACGTGCGCCCGGCTGAAGGTCGAGGCTAATTGGCCAGACTTTACTCAATAATAATTTGTTTATTAAGCGTTATAAAAAAAAATGGTTCAGGACTTTTTGACTCAGTTTGATCCAATTTACCTCCACCTTTCGTTTGGTCACTTACTTGTCGGACACCCTGTATATATTGTATATATATATACATTGAATTGTTATAACTACTCTCTGCCCTTCCCCTGCTCCCCCTCCCCCTCCTCTCCTCCGCCACTCCATCTTCCCTCCTCTCCATCTTTCCTCCTCTCCATCTTCCCTCCTCTCTCCACTTCCCCCTCTGCCACCCTACCTCCCCCTCTCTCCCTCCCACCCTTCTCCCACTCCCTTGCCTCCCCTTTTTCTCTCTCTCCTTTTAAATTGATACACGAAAATATTTACTTATACATTTTTTCTTAGACTTATTTTTTCTATGTATATATATCTATGTACGCAAAAATATAGAAAAATATACAATGTAGAGAATATTTAAGTGTAATTATAATGCCATCGTCAAATCATTTGGAAGAGAATGGGGACACTATAAAATAATATTACAATCACATTAGTTATTTTATTCAATGTAAAAGAAAAAAACATATATAGATTGATGTAAAAAAGAATGTAGTTACTTTATTCAATATAAAATAGAGTTTGATATATGTCGAATATTGGATGTGAAAAAAAAGGGCAAGACATTTGATGTAACATTTTTTAATTATAATAATATTGTAGTGTGTAGTATCCTTCCATCTCTATGTATATGCGTATGTGTAAAAATAAACTTACATATACAAATAAAAAGATGTTATTATGGATTCTTTATATTGTATATATATTTTTTTCCATATTTCTATGTACGTGGATATATGTGTGTATATATGCACACATTTATTATTTGTTAGTTTTATATATACTTT